TAAAAAGGGGGAAAAAAGGACAATAAGACCAAAGTCCACTATCCTTTGGGGGTCTTTTATTACATAGGCATCTTCAGTGGAGACCATCTGATTCTTTAGCACCCGGATAAGGTCTCTCTCAGTGCAAGAGTGACCCCACCCTCAACTCCCCGATACATGTGGCCTCAAAGATGGAGTCGATGTACATCATTTCAGTTGTCTTTATTGTTACACATGCACATCCCATCAGATCAATGGTAGGAACTGAACTCAGATGGTTGCTTTCATATTCCAAGCAGACCGAGACAGTAATTCGACATAGTGGATTAATTATCAACTCTCTCTGTAGCCAGCCAAAAAAAGTTATGCCTTCAAGTTAAGCCTGATGAAGGATAAACCATTCTTCCTGCAGACTAGGAAATCTAATGGAACTGGCCGTTATGAATGACTGTCCCCATTTTTTATTTGCTGGGGCCTTTGATGCCACTTCAGCTACAGTGGCAATGCATTCCCAAACCACTCCTCATTGAGGGGAGCAGCAGGAGCAATTTCCAGGCGGTCACTCTCGGGGGTCCCCAGAATTCTGTATTTTCTTCTTGCATATGCATCTCCTAAATGTAAATCCCTAAGAAAACAAAGTGAAAAGAATCATTCTGGTTTGTCCTATGACTACATCGTACGAAACTGGGCCCACCACTCAATGCTTGCCATTTCCACACTTCCCATGGCTCACCTCCCCCAGCCTTTAAGTAGGGTCCAATTAGTAACAGGGACTGAAATGCTATTGATTGCACTGGATTGACATTGCATATTATCATTGTGTCCACCCTATAAAGATAAATACTAAATCAAACAAGCAAATTAGTCTCGTGGTAATAAGATCTGACCCAAACCAATCACTGTATGAAGTTTGTAAAGAGTCTGGTTGTTATTGTTTTATTTTTCCATTGGCATAGATGTCTCCAGTTCCTGGTTTGGGGTGGGACAGGAGTGAACAATCATCCATGGAAAGATTGTTTTTCTGCTATTTTTGCCTCAGTTTCATCAAAGCACTAAAAATCTCAGGGCAAAGCCTAATGTCCTGCAACTAATAAAGAGCAAGCACACAATATTTAGTCTGTTAAAAATATTTGTTTCAAGCACTAAACATGCAAAAATCATGCACTGTGTAATATGCAAACATATTATTCTGTAGCCCCCAAATATAGCTATAGAACCTTCCAGCATCTCCTACTTCACAGTCATACCCCAAGACCATCAGTTCCCTTCAATAGTCATACTAGTATAAATCCCCATTTAGTTTACTTTTCCAAATTTGCAAGGATTAAATTAACCCCTTCATGTGTGAATGGGCTTTGTAAGGGATCTCCAAAACACACCCAGGGGACTCAACTATTTCTGATACTCAACCCTATTGAACCATTAAAATATTTGGCTTGTGGCTTAACAAGGAAATATTGATGACTCTTTACAATCACCATATAAGTTTGATATATTATAGTGCCATATATAAATATTTGAAAATTATCCAAGAAACAGTCAGACCATTATAACCCCACTGGCAGATATGTTAAGCTGGGATGCATGATGACACAATCCGTCTTTGAGTCATTTGATCTGGTGCAATTTTTGAAACAGAACTTTTCCACAGAGACAGAAAGAGGAATGTCCAAGGTGTGACCAGCTTGCAGTATACCCTGCTGGGAAAAATAGCATCTTATTGTGAAGGAGAAGTTGGAAGCAATAGGCAGATCTTGACTGGATTTTTTGAAGAGCTTCCTATGCAACAAGGTCTGTAATCAAAAATATTCCTCTTACTATGTCACTTTTGAATCAGATCAAAATGCATAACATTTCAAAGGGCGCACATGAGTTTACGTTCATCACATAGATTTGTCTAAAAAGGAAAGTGGTCTTATTATTTAGTATTATGTAAATCGTGTCCAAAGTATGCCAAATCGTTACAGCCAGCTATGAATATAAGACTTTTGTCTGAACTTACAATTTATACATGAATTATAGTATGAATTTAAATATTGTCATGATATTTAAAATATATGAAAATAGTTGAATGAAAACACATTAGGTGAGAGTCAAAGATTTAAATATACCCAGAACTTAGCGTGAAAAGCTTCCAATTCCACTGATTTATATGGCTGAAATACAAAAAGTAAACATATGGCATAAAACACTGAGAAGCAAATTAGATTTTTAAAATTTTTCAGTTTAGAGTCTCTATGGTTACTAGTAAGCCATGTAAGAAGATATTTGAAAATGTTTTATTTTAAAAATAGCAGTGCTCTTTTACATTTAACCTCAGTACCTAGCATGAAAAGGCAGATAATGTATAAAACTAAATATATTGAAGGGTTGGTCAGTCAAATCTATGGATTATTTTATTTTTTATTATTATGCAAAGATTTAAATGATACTCATATCCTCCTGTGATCTCTTCAGGCTGCAGTGTTGCTCTCTTGACTTAAGGATATACAATTACAATCCATAATGCTCATTTTCTTTTTTACACCTAAATGTTGCAACTATCAGAATTCTGTGACCAAAACTGCTGTGCACAAAAAAAAAAAAAAAAAAAAAGCCAGAATCAGATACTTATTGCTTCCACGTTAATTTCCATTTATGTGGTTGGTTTACATATTATTAAACCACCCATCTGATCTATAATGGCAGCCCTGCTGACACCGTCTGACCCAGTTTGACAATCTGGATAGAAATTGTAGGGTTGGCTGTTCAATGTCTGTGACTTTAACAGCATTGCTTTGGGCCTGGAATCAATTCTCTCTGTTTACAGACCATTTCACAGCCCTTTACCTGCAACATCACTTGTGTCAGTCCCATAAATACTTTGGTATATATAATGCTTGAATTAGCATAATGGTTTAGGTACAGAGCTTTAAGCACAAAGAAGGACATGTCAACATGTTCTCTTCACTTAAGCAATTAAGAGGCATTATGCTGCTTCAGTGGAAATATCATCAAGGTTAAAGACAATCCCAAACACCCCTCTAACCTTTTTATTCTAAGTCTAATAAATGAGGCATAGAAATTGAAATGTTAGTAAACAGTGCTACTTGCAAGCTCTTTTGTATCATGTTCAATCAGACCTCTCATTCCCCTCTTGCAAAGTGTAAGGAAATGTGAATGTTAACCATAGTCATGGTCACCTATTTAAAGGGTTAGGATTATTTCGTTTATTGCAAAAACTGACCTTGCTGCAAGGATTTTTTTTATTTTGTTATTTTTTATTTTTTGCATCCATTGATAGGTTCTCAATGTTTTGACACAGCCTTGAGAATACTTGTGAATTTCTAATATACATACCTATAGAATACACGCACAGATACACACAATCAAATTCTTGCCAGGATCCCTTCTCTGGCGTGTATTATGTGGGCATCAACAGATTTGGAGGCCATCCCTTGATGCCTTAAATTTTTCTCTACATTTAGCTAGAGAAAGTGACACATTCTGTATTTGTTATTGCAATCGCTGCACTTTTATTTCCACTGACATGATTCAGACAGACTGTGGGTTAAATTCTATCCCTGGAGTTATTCTGACAAAATTGCACTAGGGTTGGTTTTAGCCCTCCTGATTGTTATGGCTTTGTTTTTTACTTGGTTGCTATATTTTTTAATTCCATGTCTCTTGATACCTAAGGATTTTCAAATGCATTGGGACAAACGAGGGGAAATGTGAGTCGTTGAATATTGACAATTTTGATGGGCTAATCTCATAAAAATACACAGAGAGCAAGGAATCTGCAACCCTGCTGAGAGGAGATAACACATACACAGTGGCAGAGAGCCAGTTTCACAGTCTGATGCCATCACTGTGCCATCAGGATAGCAGAAAGCAACCAGTTCAAATGAAGCAGTCCCTAAAACCATGGCAATTTTAGCACAATGGCCTTTCCCTTAAAAGTGACCCATTGGTAGACATGAAGAATGAAATGTATTTCACGCATTCCTATAGCAACTATTGCTAGGGGTATCTGCCATCATGTAGTGCTATTCTGAGCTTATTCCTATGTGAATTGTCCATAAGACCGGTTCAACCCAGTTCAAACTTCTTCACCCTAGACGGGACCACCGCAAAAGCAGACAGGACAACCCAGTATCCAGAGCCAGACAATCAATGGCAGATACTGACAATGTGTTGGTCGACTAGTTCTGACTTTCGTGGAGGTTTGGTCTGCTGGAAAGTGGGTAAGACCACCAATACCCTTCACACAGTAACAAAGATGGGTCACTACCAACCTCATTCCCTGGTCTCCCACCACATTATGTAATTCATTCCCTTTGAAGTCAGTGGAAGTCGGAAGCCAATGGGAGTTGCTTGCCTCCTGTAATGGGAGAATAGTGCCCCATCGGATTTAACTTAAACCAGTGATCTAGACACAAAAGGATTTTTATCCCATTGCTAATGCTCTGCACCATCCACTTTCCTGAACTGTTGGGGAAAAAGAGAGAGAGGAGCAAGTGCAGGCTGGGGCAAGGATTATATCTGATACACGGTGTGGGGCATGTGTGGGGCCAGAAATCCAGGCTTTGCCTGCATTCACTGCGATGTTTATTCTCCATCAGTTACAGGCTTCCTACTTCCACATAAATGAACTGAGAGCAGCACCTTTAGAAATCTGTCTAGGCATCACTGCTGGTCGCAGCATTGTCATCTCCTCGAAGAGCTTTCTAAACCCCTGGGGCAAAGGCAACAGTAACACACAGCTGCAGGGAGAATAACTAATGGAATCGTGGTGGTTCTTATGGAATCCTTCTGACCCCAAGATGTTGGAGGCTGCCTGTCTCTAGGGGTGTGTTAGCAGGGGCAGGTCAAAGAGGCTCCCTGGGTTCATTGGGGTTTTCAGGATACAATCCCCATCTCTACGTGTCATTGTGGAGTTGCTGGAGCATCTTGGGGCCAGGAGTGCTACTTACTAGTTTTCAGCTCGTTGTGATTCAAGGGAGGGGCTAGGGAGATGGGATAAACCATTGTAATATATTTATTTACTTCTATTTTCAAGAGATTTCACCATTCCCAGGTGATTCTGGACAATGGAGCACCCCAGCCTTTTCTTCTCCCTATGCCCTGCTTTGTGCTGAGAAATCACAACTCCTGGAAATGGGTGCCTCACGCCAGAAGAAATTTAAACAAATCCTTGCCTTCATTTCTAATATGTCAACTTAAACTTGCAAACCAAAAAGCCTGGTGTAAGAGAATTGCCTTCCTATATTATGCTACCCCCTCAGGACCATCCTAAAAAGATTACCAAATTACAGCAGAGATTTCCTTGGCATTATGCAGACTAAAATTAATTTGGGCTCATTTTTAAAGAGATCCAGCTATGGTAATTTTATAATTGAGCCATTTCGTTCTATTCTCAATCAGCTTCGAATCAAAGGACAAACTGATGTGAGATATAATGTGTTTGAAATATAATTTGAAAATGAACAATAATTATCACACATTATGGTCTGGTCTGGTTTGATCTGCTCTAACTCCAGTGTCATAACTTTCCTGGAAGGGTGGTTTGAGGAATATGTTAATACCCTGGTGCCACAAACTGACCCTTTTCTTGTTACAAGGGCTATGCACTTCACCTTTTGG